TGTTTTGCAATTTTTGTTTAATAACATTTTCTACTTGGTTTGAAGTTTGTAACATTGCACAGGGGGAAGTGACCAAAACTACCCCAAAGAAAAATAAATGCAAGAAGGCAAAATGTTTGTCTGAGGAGGCTTTCCAAATAGCTGAGGGAAGAAGAGAACTGAAAGGCATGGGAGAAAGGGAAAAATATACCCAACAGAATGCAGAGTTCCAAAGGATAGCAAGGAGAGATAAAAAGGTCTTCTTAAATGAACAATGCAAAGAAGTATAAGATGACAGTAAAATGGAAAGACTAGAGATTTCTTCAAGAAAATTGGAGAGATCAAGGGAAATTTTCTTGCAAGGTTTGTCATGATAGATGACATAAACGGTAGGGAATTAACAGAAGCAGAAAAAGTTAAGAAGTGACAGAACTCTACAAAAGAGGTCTTAATGACCGAGATAACTATGATGGTGTGGTCACTCACCTAGAGCCAGACATTCTGGAGTGTGAAGTCAAGTGGGCCTTAAGAACATGACCACAGACACAGCTAATGAATATGATGGGATTCTAGCTGAGTTATTTAAAATCCTAAAAGATGATGCTATAAAAGTTCTGCACTCAATATGTCAGCAAATATAGAAAACTCAGCAGTAGCCACAGGACAGGAAAGGCCAGTTTTCATTCCAATCCTAAAGAAGAGCAACACCAAAGGATGTTCAAACTACCATACAGTTGCACTCATTTCACATCCTAGTAAGGTTATGCTCAAAACCCTTCAAGCTAGACTTCAGCAGTACATGAATTGATACCATCCAGATGTACAAGCTGGGTTTAGAAAAGGCAGAGTAACCAGAGATCAAATTGCCAACATTTGTTGGATCACAGAGAAAGCAAAGGAATTCCATGAAAATATCTACTTCTGCTTCATTGACTACACTAAAGCCTTTCACTGTGTGCATTACCACCCACAAAGTGTGGAAAATTCTTAAGGTAATGGGAATATTCATTGGAAGAACTGATGCTGAAGCTCCAGTACTTTAGCTATTTGATGGGAAGAGCAGACTCATTGGAAAGGACCCTGATCCTAGGGAAAATTTGAAGAGAAAAGGAGAAGAGCATTTCAGCAGATGAGATGGTTAGATAGCATCACTGACTCAGTGGACATGAATTTGAGCAAACTCTGGGAGATAATGAAGGACAGGGAAATCTGGTGTGCTGCAGCCCATGGGGTCACAAAGAGTCAGACACACCTAAGTGACAGAACAACAACTTGGTTTGAATTGCCCTCACTATTTTAATTCTTGGACACAGTTTCCTTTAATTTTTTTTAATAACAAATTTAGTTGATTTAAAATATTTTTTTCTAATGAGTCCAGTATCTGTACTTCCTCAGAGAAAGTTTCTATTCATTGCTTTTTTTCTTAACATGTTGATGGACTATATTTTCTAGTTTCTTTTTTTTAATTTTAATAAATTTATTTATTTTTAAACAAAGATGAATATTTTTAAAGATAAAAAGCAAAATTCACAAAGATTGATATCATAAATCATGAAATACCTAACAGCAAAGAAACAAAGACACATAAAGCAAAAACCTCAAAAGAAATATAAGGGAAAAGAAAAATATATATAATCATGTGAGAAATATTAACATATCTCTGAGAATATTTTATCAAATGAAGAAAATATAAGAATAGGAGCATCTTGATGATGTAGTCAATAATTTAAATACAGCTGATTTCTATTTATATAAATTTACATTAATTTTATATCCTACAAAATGTATTTAAAATTTTATGTCTCATATGTTGCTATTAGATATCCATAGGACATTTAGAAAAACTGGCAAACAATACTAAATTTCAAAATGTAGAATTTTTTTGTGTGATTCAGTTATACATATATGCATATATTATCTTTGAAATTATTTTCCATTATAGGATAATATAGGATATTGACTATATTTCCCCATGCTACACAGTAAACCTTTGCCACTTCTTGCCTGTTTTTTTTTAAATTATAAATCTAGCATTCTATTCATACTAAGTCAAATAAGTGGAATCTAACTGTCACAAATTTTTTTTTAGTTAGGCAAAAGTTCATAAGTTTTCTAAAATATATATATATTATACATATTATTTACAGTTGTGTAAGCTTCCTGATGGGAGGGACTGGTAGTGGGAAAAACTGAATACTCTACCTGGCAAGACTCTTTCCTTACGATTTGATGGAGAAATCAAAAGCTTTCCAGACAAGCAAAAGTTAAGAGAATTCAGCACCACCAAACCAGCTTTACAACAAATACTAAAGGAATTTCTCCAAGCAGAAAGCAAGAGAAGGAAAAGATCTACCTACAGAAAATGAACCCAAAACATGAAAACTGTAAAGGGTAAATACCTTAAATGCAAATAAATTAAACGCACCAAACAATAGACGTAGACTGGCTGCGTAGATGAAAATATGTGCATGTATGCACTTCCACTTATCACTCTGCTTGATCCTCCCCCTGAGTTGTGTGTAATAATTTTATAATATTAGGCTAATCATGTTCCCATTATGGCTTGCAATTGCAATTATCTTTTATATTTTATCTGGCTATCTTCATTTCTTTTCATTCTTTCCTCTATATTCTGTTCTGCTGCAGTGATTTCCAACTTTCTGTCCTCCAGGTCAGTTATCTGTTCTTCTGCCTCAGTTATTCTGCTATGGATTTCTTCTAGTGTATTATTCATCTGTTTGTTCTTTAGTTCTTGTAGGTCTTTGGTAAACATTTCTTGCATCTTCTCAATCTTTGCCTCCCTTATTTTTCTGAAATCCTGAATCATCTTCACTATCATTACTCTGAACTCCTTTCCTGGAAGTTTGCCTATCTCCACTTCATTTAGCTGTTTTTCTCGGGTTTTATCTTGTCCTTTCATCTGGGACATAACTTTGTATTTTTCATGATGATTAACTTCCCATAATTTGGTCGCCATCAGACTGTGCCTCTTCTCTCTTCTCTGTTTGCCTTCTGATGGAGGAGTCTAAGAGTCTTGTGTAAGCCTCCTGATGGGAGGGATTGGTGGTGGGAAAAACTGGGTCCTGCTCTAGTGGGCAAAGCCTTGCTCAGTAAAGCTTTAATCCAATTATCTGCTGATGGGTGGGGTTGCATTCCCTTCCTGGTAGTTTTTTGGCCAGAGGTGACCCAGCCCTTGGGTCTACAGGCTCTGTGGTCTGGTTAATGGCAACCCAAGAGGATTTACACCAAGGGGGGCCTTCCCAGACTGATGTTGCCAGTTCCCCCATCCCTGTGGTGATCCCCTGCAGACCAATGCCTCCACAGGAGAACCTCCAACACTAGCAAGTAGTTTTGATTCAGTCTCCTGTGGGCTCACTGCTCCCTTCCTCTGAGTCTTAGTGCACACAAGCTTTTGTTTGTGCCCTCTAAGACTGGAGTCTCTGTTTCTCCCAGTCCTGTGGAAGTCTTATAACCAAATACTACTGGCCTTCAAGGTCAGATTCCCTGGGTATTCCCTGTCTGTTTGTTGGGTCCCCAGGCTGGGGAGCCTGATTTGGGGTTCAGAACCTTCAGAACAGTGGGAAAACTTCTTTGGTATGATTTTTCTCCAGATTGGGGGTCACCCACCCGGTGGGTAAGGGATTTGATTTTATTGTGATTGTTTCCCTTCTCCCATCTTGCTGTAGCTTCTTTGTCTTTGGATGTGGGGTGTCTTCTTTTGGTAGGTTCCAGCATCCTACTGTTGATGATTGTTCAACAGCTAGTTTTGATTTTGGTTCTGTTGCAGAAGGAGATGGTGCTGTACTCTGTCATCTTGAACCAGAAGCTCCATACTTTCTAGTTTCTTTGCATGTCTCATATTTTGTTGAAAACATAAATCTAGAATTCTGAGTCTCTGTCTCTCTCTCCAGGGCTTGCTTTTGTCACTGCTTTCTGTACTAATTGCTATTTGTTTGTTCAATTACTGTCTGAGCTAATTCTATGTAGTCTCTTGTATTCTTTGCCATGGATTACCACTGAAGTCTCTGATCAATTTAGTGGTCAACTATTGATTGGACAGATATTTTTTTAAATACTTGGAATCATTAAAACTCCAAGGGTTCTGTTGCCTGTTTAACTGTTTTCAATGCTTACCCAGTAAGTTTATAACTGTGCTGTAGCCTTCATTTCCTGCTAATGCAGGGCCTCAAGGCTAGTCAGAGATAAGAACATATGACATTCTCATGTCTTTCCTGAGCATGCACACAACCCTATGCATGTCTTGGCTCTCCAGATTCCAGGAATGTGTCAGAGATTTTCAAAGTCTCTGAACATTTAATTACTTTTTTTTCTTTTAAGCTTTTTGGCAAGTCTCTTGTTTACCTCAGTTCTCGTCTAATCCTTCAGGCATCTGTCTGACAAATACACCCTTTCCCTGGCAAGAGTTTTAGCACTGGATGACCAATAAAGACAAGCCTTTTGAATCAGGTCTTTCAGGGAATTGCCACAGAAGTTAAATAATGACAATTTTGGGGGGAATTAAATCTGTTTTGTTCAGTCTAGTACCTTGAAAAAGGCTTATTTTCAAGGCTACTACTGGCCTGGGACAGGGTAATAGAGCTGGGATAAATTAAAATGCAACAATACTTGCTGTACTTAACAAGACTGGAGTGTTTTTCTTCCATAAATACTACCTGGGTTGATTCAAATATTTGGCTATTTTCTCAAAATCTTAAAGAAAAAAAAGTTATGAAAAATTTTGTCAGTCGTTTCACTGCTTTTGTGAAGTAAGTATTTGAAGGTTATTATTCTGTTATCTTTACTAACTCACCACAGCCACCTTCTTTGTAATACTTCTAAGACCCTCTCAAGAGAATAAGTAGCTAAATTTCAACTGGAAGTTAGTTAAAACAAAATATTTTCCCCATCTAGGTTAATTAAGTATCTGACTGGCCATTACTTATTTCCCATTTTTTCCTAAAGCATTCAACTGTTCACTCAGGGGTGCCAGGACCCTTGAATGGACTTCCTTTTCCTTGCAGATTCCTCAAAGCCACTTGATACCAAGACTAAGTCACTTCCAACCATGCAAACCCCCTTGGAAGGTGAGTTTACTGGGGTTCTGTGGGAACAGGGAAGGTCTGAAATGGTGTCATGGTAGCCAAGGGAGGAGGCTCAATGCCATTAGACAGGTAATAAGAGGTCACTGGGTTCTTCATAAGGAACATAGTAATAAAGAAATGGAAATAAAAAGACTTAAGGGTCATGAAGAAGTGAATCATATATATCTGTAAATATAATAAATGTTTATATATAATAAATTCGTTTATATTTATATAAATATAATAAATAATAATTAATAAATTATTATTATTTAAAAATAATTAGTTAATATATAAATATAAATATATATATATAAATCATATATATATATATATCTTTGTAAAAATGTCTGAGGCAAAAAGAATAACCCTATAGGAAAAATGGAAAAAGAAAACAGAATTCTGCTCTGCTCCTAGTCTGAATTGCTATGGGACTTTAGGTATATTTTCTCTCCTCTATGGCCCTTCTTCCCACCAGCAGTAAAAAAAAAAGTAAGCTATCACGTTATTGTATTTAATTGGCCAAAAAGTTCAATCAAGTTTTTCTCTAAGGTATTATGGAAAAACCCAAATTTTTGGCCAACCCAATAATAGTGGTCAATGACATGGCCAGGAATTCTGGAAATCTTAGCACAGATACCCAAGGAAGAACTGCAATCTTTGTAGCCACCCTCCATCTTAAAATCTCCTATCTGGAAGAGAGGTCTCTGACCCTAATAATCCTGTTGTTATAGCAACATCCACAGTGAATACATCCTGGGGCAGAATAACTGAAGTGGATGGTTATATTGGAAAGACAAGTGCTGGACCAGGTAAGGGAAATGTTAACACTTCTATTCCTCCTTTCTGGCTCTTAACTTTGAAACAAAAACTTTCCACTATACACACAATTCTATGTCATTCTACTCCACAAACTGTTACCTCCTATATGCCAGGCTATGATCAAAGGTCCTAGAGACAGATGAGGTGGATAAAATGGAGAATGGAGAGGCAAAGATACAGATACAGGGATGGTCAAAGTCAGAATAGGTTTAAGGGTAGTGATAGATGTGTCCTCAGTTCTCTGTTGGCATAATAATGTACTTCCTAAACATTCTATATAAAATTTGAATGGGACTATGGCTTCAGCCAGCTCTCCTAGGGAAACGGGCATTGGACCAGGTAAGGGTAGTGGCAAGTCTTCATTACTTGAGTTATTCTTCAGAGGTCACCAAGCAGCTTGTAGCTGATTTCTGATTCCTTCAAAGTTTCAAGGATCGCTAAGTCAAAGTCTCAGAGATGCAAACCCCAAAGACAAGTTCTTTGGGTTTTCACCTGAAGCTAATAGCTAGTATGCAGTGGTATGACTACATTGATTATTAAAACAATTAAATACTTGTATTTTATATCATTTTATTTCATCAACAATACTAGTTGATGCTAGATGCTTCCTTTAACCACTGTTTCCCATTATCACCTTGACTGCCTTGGCCCATCCCTCAGAACTCTCTAGACCACTCCCATGGTCCTACAACAAAAGTATTGATGCCTGGATACCTCTAAGACTCCCGGTCTAGAGTAGGTATCTGTTTTGATTAATAGGTACATAATAGTTTGATGACTATCACTCCTGGTCTTATCCTCTGGTTGTATGTCATTGATGGTGGACTTAATGCCTCTGTACTTCTGCCCTCCTGGTTGCAGAGTTTCTTGGTTGTCTCAGGTCACAGCTTAAACTTCTTTTGTATTCCATTTTTGTGGTATCACTTTTGGCTTGAAGCCTTCCATAGTTCCATGTCTCTTTTGGCAATATCCATAGAAGAAGGGGGTCTAGAAGATACTTCTTAAGACAGTTGATTTGAGAAGATGAGGAAATAACTTTTGGAGGAATGGATACTCTAATATTTGGGGTTTATGTCCTACATCCTCTATTAATTATTTTACAACTTGACTCTCTCCCATGAGGAACCTTCCCTTGATCTGTATCATTTCATAGCTTGGGTTCTCTCAACTCCAATCAGAGCTCTAAGGACCACAAATACCAGATTTCTAAGATATAATATTTTGGGATCTAGAGAAAACAAAGTTAGTTGCCGCAGTAAATCCTAAGGATACTGGGATTCCTTTCCCTCTCCATCCATATCCCCGACCTCACTCCCTAGATGCAGAATATTATAGCTACAAGTGCATTAGACATCACCCAATCTTTTCATTGAACTTACGGGGAAACTAAGGTATTAGTCAAAAATCTGATTAAAGTCACTGTATTTATTCTTCTATGACTTCTATGTATTTAGCCTTCTAGGACTGCTGAAAAAGTACCCCATACTTAGCACCTTAAAATAACACAAATATATTATCCTATACTTCTGGACATCAGAAATCTGACACACTGGGATAAAATTAAGGTATAGTTGGGCTGTGTTCTTTTTGGAGACTGGGGATAATCAGTTTCTTTGTCCTCCTTTCAGTTCCTAGAGGTTACCTTCTTTCCTCGGCTTCTGGTTACCTTCCACCATTTTCAAAACTAGCAATGTAGCATTTTCAAATATCTCACTATCATCTCCTCTTCTGTTTCCTTCTTCCACTTTTGGGAGACCCTTGAGATTCCATTGAGCCCACCCAGATATTTCAAGATAATCTCCTCACTTCAAAGTCAATGAATGAACAACCCTAAATATATTTGTAACCTTAATTCTTCCCTACAATGTAAACTAATATACTGGGGATATGAATATGAACGTCTTTGGAGGACCCTTATTTTGCCTACCACAGTCATACAGCAAATAAATAACAGATCCAGGACCAGAAGCCTAGTCCAGGGGTTTCCTTCAATTTGTAGGCATGATTTAGATAGGTAACCCAAGAGACTCAGTGGAAAAATGCTTTGAGGATTAAGAAATCTGAATACTTGGACAGAGTGTTTGAATAAAAGAATCATTGCAACTAGAAGTAATTGATTATAATCTCAATAAGGTAGTGTTTTTGTGAATCTGGGAAGTGCTTTCTCCTAAGAAAATGTGAAAAACCTCTTGGCCCCATGGAAAGTATGGAGTACTGGTTCAAATGCCCAGGCCAATCAGCCAACAATGAGTGGATCTGAAATAACTTGCACATACATGGAGTCTCTAGCTTCTCTCAAGTCTTTCTCATGAATCCAGGGTTTTGTTTGTCTCTCTGGCTAGCTAAGAAAGTTAAGAGAAGATGGAAAAGAAAGAACTGTGAGCTAGTCTGGACTGATCCTTGTCTCTGTTTCTGGACTGTTTTCAACCAGATACCATTTGGTCTTGTTTTGCCCCCTAGGAAGAGGCCTGTCTATCTTTGCCATAATTCTCATCATCTCCTTGTGCTGTATAGTGTTCATCACCATGACTTATATCATGGCCTGCCGGAAGACATCCCAACAGGGTGAGTGATGAATATGAATGGGTGGCTTTTGCTTATTCTTTCTTTCAGCAGTACAGTTGAGCATAAACTCTGTATCAAGCACTATGTTAGGCACTTCAAAGGGTCTGCAGCCTATACTGAAAGTGAGGATAGGGAATCCATGGAGACAGACATGCAATAAGAGTACAACACATGAAAGTTAATTCACAAATCTTTTTACTCAACCTAGCACAGCATCTACTTAGTGGATTTTTAATGAGGAGAAGGAGAAGTCACAATTACTTGCCTCAAGTTATTTACAGTTTAATTAATGGAATCAAGGTAGAGTCATGGAGTTTATCAATAACAATACATAGCTATAAAGGAAGTGAAGTTAAAGCTTAGAGAAGATAATCAATGCTAAAGGGATCCAAACAAAGGATAGGAGAATCAGTTAGGGGCAGAATAATTATCAAGGGCTTTCAGAAGGAGGCGTACTTAGACCATGACTTGGGGGGATGAAAGCCATTGAAAGGGGACAATATTCTACAAATACATGAAATTACATGAATAAAGGGGTGAAATTGTAAAAGATAAATGTAAGTAGAGCCATCAATAGATAAACTTCATGTAGCCAAGCAATAGACAAATACAAAGGAAATGATAAGTTCATTCCTGACTCTAGAAAGTCTTGAATGACAGGTTAAGGAATTTGGAATTTCTTCTGTAAGCCTTGCATTAAAAATCACTTAAAATTTTAAGCTGGGCAGTGATATGATTACAGTGTAGTTGTCAGGGTCATTTAACATCTGTTTGCCAACAGAGGAAAAAGAGAATCTTAATGTTTATTTTTAAGTAAAGCCTAACTACACCTCAATTCCTTTTGCACTAGTCATTTTAACTAGCATTTGTGTGTCTCTTCCTTTGAAGTATCTCCTACTCCCTAATAGTCTGATTTCTACCATAGGTCTCTCCAACCCAAAAAGAGGAGGAAGCCTTGAGTTTCTCCTTCTCCTGGGTTTGAACTAAAAACTCTTGTCTTGGCCAATTACCATGGCTATGATCCATGAGGTTAAACTTGGAAGTGGAGATATCTTAAGTTGCCACAAATCCTAGGAGTACTAAAAGGAAAACATTCATCATAGTCTCAATATGACTGAGTATAAACTGTAACCATATTAGATTATTTCCCTTTCAAAAACAGTCCAGGGCTCACCATGACTCAGAGGACAGAGGCCAAAATGTAGCATCCCATTGAAGGCCCTCTGTAATGTGGCTCTGGCCTATCTTGTCAACCCCCACCATTCTCTTAGACCTAATTTCATTCCCAGTCACTGGAGTCAAACAGGCAAATAGGTGACACACCTCATGTCTTTATACTTTTTCCTTCCTGGATTGCCTTTCCAGAATTCTTGCATTCTATCTCTCTATAAGGGAGACAGCCTCAGGGCATCATCTCAATTTAACATGTAGCTTCTGAGTACCTATTATGTACCATGCACTAGGCATATAAAGATGAGAAAGATCCTACAGTATGAAAGCTGCCAGGCCAATCAGGGAGGAAAGACATGGAAATGTAAGGCTTTATCACAAAACAAAAGACCTGAAGCATTCTGTTTTTGCTTTGTTGTGGTTTAATGTATACATTCCCAGTTGCATCTCTGAAAGATTACAAGCACCTAGAGGGCAGTACTAAGAGACATCCATCTTTGTACCAGGTTATAGAGCTTTTAAGCCTTCGTGGAATGTAGATACTTCTCCTCCACAGACACTAGGGGGCAATGGTGACTAATTCCAAGATCTTTCCTGGATGCAGGATGGGGATAAGTGCACTTGAGAATGACTGAAGCTATAGTCTGGGCATCAGACTGATAATTCAAGCCCTTTTGTCTGGGCTCTGAATGGCTGCCAAGTTTTTCCATAAGGACTCCCTAAAGGATATTTGACCAGACTCCTGGGTGGAGAGTGGATCCAGTTCCAGTGTCCCTCCCCCCATCACACCAAGCTCTAGCCCAATGTCCAGAGTCAGATTGTGCCAAAGATGACAGTGATCAAGTGTGCTTCCTCTTCCTTTCCTGAATAAATCTGCATCTGTTGAAAAACAGGTAAATCTGTATTTCAACCACCTTCCTAACAGCTCCTATTTGTTGGAAGGCTGAGACATATTGAGATCCCCCTTTCTGTCTCCTCTTCCCTTTTCTTTTCACAGGGACTCGCGTTTGGCCCTTACCCATTCCCTATGGAGACTTCTGACTTGATTCTTCTTTTTTTTTTTTTTCTAGATCATGTCTATGAAGTGGCCAGGTAAGATAGCTTCTCATCTTCTATCTTCTGGCCTGTTCCTTGTCCTCAAGTTTGTTGGTTATTGGCATAGAGGCAAGGGGGTTTGGTACAGACAAAATATTAAGCCCAGAGTCCTTCAAGGTCAGGACACAACTTTCTTCCCTCTCAAAAGCACCTCCTGTGGTACTGTCCTGACCCAGTGAACACACAAAATAATCCAAGTCCACTAGCCCTCTGTTCCTAGAATCCTTGGGTGGCAGGTGCCTGATGGTCAGTTGTCAATAACTGGGGCAGAAAAGTGGGAAACCAAGGTACCAGATTCAAGTTTCTTCTCATGGGTGGTGGGCTCTTGGACCACAGGTTTCGTGCCAGGAAGGCCAGTGGCTCTGGTGAAACAATGAGGGTGGCCCTCTTCGCAAGTGGCTGTTCCAATGAAGAACCAGCTTCCCAGACTCTGGGCAATGACTACTCTGATGAGCCTTGCCTGGGCCAGGAGTACCAGATCATCACCCAGATCAACAGTGACTATGCTTGTCTGCTGCATACAGATCCCCTGGACTATGAGCTTCTAGCCACCAAGGGCAAGAATGTCTGCTAAAAATGTCCTACTGGGCTGGTGTCTATTGACATAATTATTCAGCCCAGACATTCTACACGGCCCCTTTCCCTGCTGTTTCTTCCTGGTTAGTCCAACATGTCTTCTTTGCCAACAATGGGGTTGCTAAGAGTAACTGGTTTTGCCTAAGAAATTGCCATATGTACCTCAAGCAAGCCTGCTGCTGGGTCATGCCCTAGACCTTTCTAGTATTCCTGCCTACAGCTTCCATTGCTTTTCTCCAAACACAAGAAGAAAGTATCCATAGCACTAGGACTTGGTCACCATGTCTCCAGATGCCCCTCAACTTTGGCCTCTTACCACTGAATGACCAGAGGGAGGCTCAGCTCTGCCAGCTCAAAGGATGAGTTGGTTCAGGGTCACTTCCCTTTCTCTAGTGCCAGAGAGCTTTGAATCAGGATTATCATGGAACAGACCAGGGTTCAGTTCTGCTCCTGTACTGTGAGCCTAGTGTTCTGGTATTCTTTTGATGCTCAATAAATATCTAAGCATAATAACATCATTGGTCATATTGGCCCTTTCTCAAGTACCTACCAAGAATGATTAAACTGAGACTAGTTGAGATGGTTGAGGCCCTGGGAGTATGGATAGAACCTTTGCTTTTTTGGTTTTTCTTCCCTCACACCCACACTACCCTTACTTCACTTCAGCAGTGAGCTCACTGAAACATAATAAATCTTTGGTAAAAGAGTACTAACTGTCTTCTATTCTCTTCTTAATCATCCTGCCAGCTCCACCTGGGTGACTCTTCCCAGGTTAATTGGAAATCATAAAAATGGAGTCTTCTGTCTCAGGGTCTGTGGGTGCACAGATAAAGAGCTCACCTTCTTTCCAAAGCATGGATGCATCACCCTCAGGGATTTTTACTTCCTAGATTCCTGAAATCTTTGGAAAAGTTATACTTTTCATAGGTCATCTTTATCTCCTGACACCTTCTTACAATGTGGGGTGAAAGTCACAGCATGGAAGTCTTTCTTCTCAAGCAGGAATAGATACTAGGAGTGTGAGCATGTGTGTGTGTGTGTGTGTGTGTGTGTGTTTATCTTTCTGAATATGTGCACATGCAATGTACGTTTTAAATCATTCTCCTCAGTGAAGACCTGTTCTGGGCAAGTTCAACTTTTCCTCAGGTAATTCATATCAAATCAACTTCTTCACCCTCTATGGAAGCTTACATGCACCACTTTTGATTACAATGCAATTCCAAGGTCATTTCAGATTTAACCAACAGCTGCCTCCCATACACTGATTACAAAAGTCAGAATTATACATAAAAGTGAACAAGGAGCCCTTTGTTTTACAGGAATAAAAGTAATGAATCAAGGAGCACTTCCATCCCCAGGGCCTGTATGCCTTTTGTTGTCGCTACATAAATTGTTCCAGAGTAGAAAAAAATGAAAGCAAACATCTAAATTATTTTAATGATGCCAGTTAACATGGACATTACAACTTGATTAAATGTCACACAAAAGATAAAATTACAGACCTAGGATCATATCTATATTACAGCAGGAAACTTCCAGAGATCATCTCTGTCCAAAACCTGATAATTTTTTACATACAAAATAAGTCAGTAAGAAAGTCCTAAGTATAGATCTAGTCCAAATATACAGTATAGACTAAACAAAAATGATGTGATAACATTGGACTTGTCTTAGGCAAGTAACTGGTTGGGAAAAAGACAAGATCTCCAGAAGAGAGGAAAAATATAAAGTTTCTCTAAGGTAGTTTCTTAGATTTTGTTCCATGAAATACAAGATCCAGGAAATGGCCCACAGAAAAAAATTTCCAAAATCAGATAGGCATGGGAAATGTTTCACTCTATGGCTCTCTCTTGGAGATTTACAAAGCAATATTTCAATACTAAAGTTTCTGAAAAATCCTGCAATGAAGTATCTATATACCTTTTTGTTACCAAGTGATTCCAAAACTTACTTGCTCTCTGAGTCTACTTTTTTGCCCTCCTCCTCTGACTCTTGACCCTGTTTCTCAGGGATAAAACCCTCCATGTTGGCAATTACCTCACACACCCTATAGCATTGTGGTTACCAAAATTTAATTGCTTTTTAACAAAATTCCTGGGTAGCATTTGACCCAAAGGCCCAAAGCTAAGGGACTAGTGGAAAGCATTTTAATCAATAAGCATTTATTAAGTATTTTCTGTAACTAGAGTACTGTGCTGAGGTTGGAGTAGGGATGAAATGGGGAGAGAGCAATCACACAAAGAGTATTGTTCTCTAGGAGTTCACAATCTAGTTGGGGATTAAAAATTACCTCCCTTAGAAGTTCACTAACAATTCAAAAGGTACCATTGGGCAGTAAGAGATAAATGGGTACATACAAGCAACCAGGCAAGGAGTGTGTTGAAGAACAAAGCAGGAAAGAATATAAGTTAAATTTCAAAAGTCTTGGAGGTAAGGACTTTGGCTGGACCAGGAAGTATGGGAAAGAATTGGAAGAGAAGAGAGAAATAAAGAAGGTGTTCCCAGGAGGAGAAAGAGCATGAGGAAAAGGAGAGAGATTAAGTCAGGTCAAAGTGTGTTTAGAAGTCAAGATTAAGTGTCAAGAAACTGGGTGCTTAAGTCCTGATGTCCTTGCTATGTGGCTCAGGGAGGGGAATGTGAAGGAAGAAAGTATGAATCAAAGAACATTTACATCCCTTAAAAATGCCCAAATGCCTTTTCAAGACTATTGTGTCCCCCTAGGGCTCCCACTGTGTGTAGCGGAGCTGCTTCATTTTTCTCCCACACCTTCACATATAATGGTTTATTTCCCTCAAAGTCACCAAAAATAACTTCTGAGAACTTAGTTGGTATTTGCTGAGTGTTCTTGTATTCAACTGTCTCTCTTCTGTTGTATCTCAAGTGTCCCAGCCTGGAGTTGCTAGGCATATGCCACACTTGGGGTATTTGACAAACTGACACTACTACATGGAGTGTCCAACTCAGCTTGTCAAATACACGGAGCATGGCACTGCAGGAGGTTGGGCCAGGGTCTTCGGTGGAGACGTAAGATCTTCCTGGAAGATGTGACCTTGGAGGGAAAGAGAGAGAAAGGAGTCACACCCTGAGCACCAGGGAAACTTCAGAGGCTGTAGGGACTAGGTGAATCACCAGAGCAAGGAAGTGAATGAAATAGGCAATAAGGCTTTTAACCAGAAGAAGGATCTTTATGGTATATGTGGAAGGCCCAGTTGATACTGCAGGTGAAGTCCCAGTGCCCAGTTGGGGGGGTTCTCAGGCCTGAGTCCTATAACTATGGCATTTCTAGGGGTCCTGAGATACAGTGAGGTTCTCTGTGCAGGACAGGACCAGGTCCCAGAGTTAATGTCCATGTCCCACCTTCCTATGGTTCTCACAGTGTTCTCACAGTTTGCACAGTGTTCTATGCTATATGTGCTACATGTGCTACTCAGTGCATTATGTTCTCACAGTGTTATGGCTATGAACAAAGGCTTTTAGGCTAAGTGTGGGCATGAATTCTGACTTTTCCATTAAGTAGTTGAGAAATCTTGGGTAAATCATTCCATCTCTCTGAACTCTAGTTTTCCACATCCACAAAATAGGTGTAAGTATTGTTGGCAGTGGACTTGGCAGTCAGGTACTGGGATCATTCAGTGCAGTCATCAGAAAAATAAAGAAGCTACCAGGAGCATGATCATGCATGCCTGGAACTTCTGAGAGAATTCCCTTAGCAATGCCCAAATCCTATTGCTAAAAGTTCTGGGTTGTCTGTGTCAAATTCTTCCCCTTCCTAGGTATGGTAGTTGATCTATGAGAAAGTAACTCACTTATATCAAATACTGGCATGAAAACTGCAAACATTCCAAGGAATATAAAACTGCCCCATGAGATGAGGTCTTAGCCCAGATAAGACAAGGCAGAGGGACTTCTCTGTCATAAAACAGCAGAGTGCATTTTTGTTTAAAAGAAAAAAACCTTAATTCTTTCAGGTGAATATATGTTGGTAAGGGGGTGATGTGTGTGCCTGCATGCTATGTTGTTGCAACCCTGTGGACTGTAACCCACCAGGCTCCTCTGTCCTCTTGTCTCCAGGCAAGAATACTGGAGTGGGTTGCCATGCCCTCCTCCAGGGCATGATCCCTCCTCCAGGGCATGATCCCACCTCATGGATCAAACCTGCATCTCATGTCTCCTGCATTGGCAGGCAGGTTCTTTACCACTAGCCCCAGCAGGAAGACTCAAAAGAGTGACATGCTCCTCCAATTTGATATCTGAGAGTGACTTCAAACTTAAAGCTCTAAACAGTATTTTCCACTCTCTACCTCTCTACCTATCCAATCATTTCCCTCTCTACCTACCCAATCCATTCCAAGTGACCCAGAGTGTGGCTTTTTCAGCCAAAGCAACAATCATGATCACCAGATATGCCATAGTAGAAAGAA